TGATGATGATGATGATGATGATGATGATGATGATGATGATGATGATGATGATGATGATGATGATGATGATGATGATGATGATGATGATGATGATGATGATGATGATGATGATGATGATGATGATGATGATGATGATGATGATGATGATGATGATGATGATGATGATGATGATGATGATGATGCAGATGATGATGATGATGATGATGATGATGATGATGATGATGATGATGATGATGATGATGATGATGATGATGATGATGATGATGATGATGATGATGATGATGATGATGATGATGATGATGATGATGATGATGATGATGATGATGATGATGATGATGATGATGATGATGATGATGATGATGATGATGATGATGATGATGATGATGATGATGATGATGATGATGATGATGATGATGATGATGATGATGATGATGATGATGATGATGATGATGATGATGATGATGATGATGATGATGATGATGATGATGATGATGATGATGATGATGATGATGATGATGATGATGATGATGATGATGATGATGATGATGATGATGATGATGATGATGATGATGATGATGATGATGATGATGATGATGATGATGATGATGATGATGATGATGATGATGATGATGATGATGATGATGATGATGATGATGATGATGATGATGATGATGATGATGATGATGATGATGATGATGATGATGATGATGATGATGATGATGATGATGATGATGATGATGATGATGATGATGATGATGATGATGATGATGATGATGATGATGATGATGATGATGATGATGATGATGATGATGATGATGATGATGATGATGATGATGATGATGATGATGATGATGATGATGATGATGATGATGATGATGATGATGATGATGATGATGATGATGATGATGATGATGATGATGATGATGATGATGATGATGATGATGATGATGATGATGATGATGATGATGATGATGATGATGATGATGATGATGATGATGATGATGATGATGATGATGATGATGATGATGATGATGATGATGATGATGATGATGATGATGATGATGATGATGATGATGATGATGATGATGATGATGATGATGATGATGATGATGATGATGATGATGATGATGATGATGATGATGATGATGATGATGATGATGATGATGATGATGATGATGATGATGATGATGATGATGATGATGATGATGATGATGATGATGATGATGATGATGATGATGATGATGATGATGATGATGATGATGATGATGATGATGATGATGATGATGATGATGATGATGATGATGATGATGATGATGATGATGATGATGATGATGATGATGATGATGATGATGATGATGATGATGATGATGATGATGATGATGATGATGATGATGATGATGATGATGATGATGATGATGATGATGATGATGATGATGATGATGATGATGATGATGATGATGATGATGATGATGATGATGATGATGATGATGATGATGATGATGATGATGATGATGATGATGATGATGATGATGATGATGATGATGATGATGATGATGATGATGATGATGATGATGATGATGATGATGATGATGATGATGATGATGATGATGATGATGATGATGATGATGATGATGATGATGATGATGATGATGATGATGATGATGATGATGATGATGATGATGATGATGATGATGATGATGATGATGATGATGATGATGATGATGATGATGATGATGATGATGATGATGATGATGATGATGATGATGATGATGATGATGATGATGATGATGATGATGATGATGATGATGATGATGATGATGATGATGATGATGATGATGATGATGATGATGATGATGATGATGATGATGATGATGATGATGATGATGATGATGATGATGATGATGATGATGATGATGATGATGATGATGATGATGATGATGATGATGATGATGATGATGATGATGATGATGATGATGATGATGATGATGATGATGATGATGATGATGATGATGATGATGATGATGATGATGATGATGATGATGATGATGATGATGATGATGATGATGATGATGATGATGATGATGATGATGATGATGATGATGATGATGATGATGATGATGATGATGATGATGATGATGATGATGATGATGATGATGATGATGATGATGATGATGATGATGATGATGATGATGATGATGATGATGATGATGATGATGATGATGATGATGATGATGATGATGATGATGATGATGATGATGATGATGATGATGATGATGATGATGATGATGATGATGATGATGATGATGATGATGATGATGATGATGATGATGATGATGATGATGATGATGATGATGATGATGATGATGATGATGATGATGATGATGATGATGATGATGATGATGATGATGATGATGATGATGATGATGATGATGATGATGATGATGATGATGATGATGATGATGATGATGATGATGATGATGATGATGATGATGATGATGATGATGATGATGATGATGATGATGATGATGATGATGATGATGATGATGATGATGATGATGATGATGATGATGATGATGATGATGATGATGATGATGATGATGATGATGATGATGATGATGATGATGATGATGATGATGATGATGATGATGATGATGATGATGATGATGATGATGATGATGATGATGATGATGATGATGATGATGATGATGATGATGATGATGATGATGATGATGATGATGATGATGATGATGATGATGATGATGATGATGATGATGATGATGATGATGATGATGATGATGATGATGATGATGATGATGATGATGATGATGATGATGATGATGATGATGATGATGATGATGATGATGATGATGATGATGATGATGATGATGATGATGATGATGATGATGATGATGATGATGATGATGATGATGATGATGATGATGATGATGATGATGATGATGATGATGATGATGATGATGATGATGATGATGATGATGATGATGATGATGATGATGATGATGATGATGATGATGATGATGATGATGATGATGATGATGATGATGATGATGATGATGATGATGATGATGATGATGATGATGATGATGATGATGATGATGATGATGATGATGATGATGATGATGATGATGATGATGATGATGATGATGATGATGATGATGATGATGATGATGATGATGATGATGATGATGATGATGATGATGATGATGATGATGATGATGATGATGATGATGATGATGATGATGATGATGATGATGATGATGATGATGATGATGATGATGATGATGATGATGATGATGATGATGATGATGATGATGATGATGATGATGATGATGATGATGATGATGATGATGATGATGATGATGATGATGATGATGATGATGATGATGATGATGATGATGATGATGATGATGATGATGATGATGATGATGATGATGATGATGATGATGATGATGATGATGATGATGATGATGATGATGATGATGATGATGATGATGATGATGATGATGATGATGATGATGATGATGATGATGATGATGATGATGATGATGATGATGATGATGATGATGATGATGATGATGATGATGATGATGATGATGATGATGATGATGATGATGATGATGATGATGATGATGATGATGATGATGATGATGATGATGATGATGATGATGATGATGATGATGATGATGATGATGATGATGATGATGATGATGATGATGATGATGATGATGATGATGATGATGATGATGATGATGATGATGATGATGATGATGATGATGATGATGATGATGATGATGATGATGATGATGATGATGATGATGATGATGATGATGATGATGATGATGATGATGATGATGATGATGATGATGATGATGATGATGATGATGATGATGATGATGATGATGATGATGATGATGATGATGATGATGATGATGATGATGATGATGATGATGATGATGATGATGATGATGATGATGATGATGATGATGATGATGATGATGATGATGATGATGATGATGATGATGATGATGATGATGATGATGATGATGATGATGATGATGATGATGATGATGATGATGATGATGATGATGATGATGATGATGATGATGATGATGATGATGATGATGATGATGATGATGATGATGATGATGATGATGATGATGATGATGATGATGATGATGATGATGATGATGATGATGATGATGATGATGATGATGATGATGATGATGATGATGATGATGATGATGATGATGATGATGATGATGATGATGATGATGATGATGATGATGATGATGATGATGATGATGATGATGATGATGATGATGATGATGATGATGATGATGATGATGATGATGATGATGATGATGATGATGATGATGATGATGATGATGATGATGATGATGATGATGATGATGATGATGATGATGATGATGATGATGATGATGATGATGATGATGATGATGATGATGATGATGATGATGATGATGATGATGATGATGATGATGATGATGATGATGATGATGATGATGATGATGATGATGATGATGATGATGATGATGATGATGATGATGATGATGATGATGATGATGATGATGATGATGATGATGATGATGATGATGATGATGATGATGATGATGATGATGATGATGATGATGATGATGATGATGATGATGATGATGATGATGATGATGATGATGATGATGATGATGATGATGATGATGATGATGATGATGATGATGATGATGATGATGATGATGATGATGATGATGATGATGATGATGATGATGATGATGATGATGATGATGATGATGATGATGATGATGATGATGATGATGATGATGATGATGATGATGATGATGATGATGATGATGATGATGATGATGATGATGATGATGATGATGATGATGATGATGATGATGATGATGATGATGATGATGATGATGATGATGATGATGATGATGATGATGATGATGATGATGATGATGATGATGATGATGATGATGATGATGATGATGATGATGATGATGATGATGATGATGATGATGATGATGATGATGATGATGATGATGATGATGATGATGATGATGATGATGATGATGATGATGATGATGATGATGATGATGATGATGATGATGATGATGATGATGATGATGATGATGATGATGATGATGATGATGATGATGATGATGATGATGATGATGATGATGATGATGATGATGATGATGATGATGATGATGATGATGATGATGATGATGATGATGATGATGATGATGATGATGATGATGATGATGATGATGATGATGATGATGATGATGATGATGATGATGATGATGATGATGATGATGATGATGATGATGATGATGATGATGATGATGATGATGATGATGATGATGATGATGATGATGATGATGATGATGATGATGATGATGATGATGATGATGATGATGATGATGATGATGATGATGATGATGATGATGATGATGATGATGATGATGATGATGATGATGATGATGATGATGATGATGATGATGATGATGATGATGATGATGATGATGATGATGATGATGATGATGATGATGATGATGATGATGATGATGATGATGATGATGATGATGATGATGATGATGATGATGATGATGATGATGATGATGATGATGATGATGATGATGATGATGATGATGATGATGATGATGATGATGATGATGATGATGATGATGATGATGATGATGATGATGATGATGATGATGATGATGATGATGATGATGATGATGATGATGATGATGATGATGATGATGATGATGATGATGATGATGATGATGATGATGATGATGATGATGATGATGATGATGATGATGATGATGATGATGATGATGATGATGATGATGATGATGATGATGATGATGATGATGATGATGATGATGATGATGATGATGATGATGATGATGATGATGATGATGATGATGATGATGATGATGATGATGATGATGATGATGATGATGATGATGATGATGATGATGATGATGATGATGATGATGATGATGATGATGATGATGATGATGATGATGATGATGATGATGATGATGATGATGATGATGATGATGATGATGATGATGATGATGATGATGATGATGATGATGATGATGATGATGATGATGATGATGATGATGATGATGATGATGATGATGATGATGATGATGATGATGATGATGATGATGATGATGATGATGATGATGATGATGATGATGATGATGATGATGATGATGATGATGATGATGATGATGATGATGATGATGATGATGATGATGATGATGATGATGATGATGATGATGATGATGATGATGATGATGATGATGATGATGATGATGATGATGATGATGATGATGATGATGATGATGATGATGATGATGATGATGATGATGATGATGATGATGATGATGATGATGATGATGATGATGATGATGATGATGATGATGATGATGATGATGATGATGATGATGATGATGATGATGATGATGATGATGATGATGATGATGATGATGATGATGATGATGATGATGATGATGATGATGATGATGATGATGATGATGATGATGATGATGATGATGATGATGATGATGATGATGATGATGATGATGATGATGATGATGATGATGATGATGATGATGATGATGATGATGATGATGATGATGATGATGATGATGATGATGATGATGATGATGATGATGATGATGATGATGATGATGATGATGATGATGATGATGATGATGATGATGATGATGATGATGATGATGATGATGATGATGATGATGATGATGATGATGATGATGATGATGATGATGATGATGATGATGATGATGATGATGATGATGATGATGATGATGATGATGATGATGATGATGATGATGATGATGATGATGATGATGATGATGATGATGATGATGATGATGATGATGATGATGATGATGATGATGATGATGATGATGATGATGATGATGATGATGATGATGATGATGATGATGATGATGATGATGATGATGATGATGATGATGATGATGATGATGATGATGATGATGATGATGATGATGATGATGATGATGATGATGATGATGATGATGATGATGATGATGATGATGATGATGATGATGATGATGATGATGATGATGATGATGATGATGATGATGATGATGATGATGATGATGATGATGATGATGATGATGATGATGATGATGATGATGATGATGATGATGATGATGATGATGATGATGATGATGATGATGATGATGATGATGATGATGATGATGATGATGATGATGATGATGATGATGATGATGATGATGATGATGATGATGATGATGATGATGATGATGATGATGATGATGATGATGATGATGATGATGATGATGATGATGATGATGATGATGATGATGATGATGATGATGATGATGATGATGATGATGATGATGATGATGATGATGATGATGATGA